TACGGGAGTGCTGCCTTCAACATTAAATATGTTGCATTCCACCTATGTCTCACGTCAGTTGGAAACTTTCTTGGGCGCATCTGACTGTTCCTGCAATATTGTTTGAATTCTTGGAGCCGAGCTGTAGAACTAGATATGAATGATAATTATTCTCTAATATTTGTAAGATTAGCTGAGATATGTTCAATTCCTGCCTGAACTACTAAATTAATTATGTGACATGCACACCGTTGATGAAAAATTTTCCCTCCAAATGCTGGTTTCAAACTATGTTTAAACAGATTAATTGCAGCTGTATTAGCTAACACATTATCAAAAGTAATTGTTAAAACTTTATCTTCTATCCCATAAAACCTAAAAATTTCTATTATTGTACTAAAAATAGATGTTGCGTTATGAGGATATGGACATAAACGAAAACCAATTATTCTTTTTTGTAAAACTCAATCGTCATCAACGTAGTGCGCTGTGATTTTATTACACCCCTCCCACAGATCAGAAGTGCAAGACACAGTAGCATTAAAAGTCCTAAAATTATCAACAAGAGATTGTTTCATTGCATAAAAAACTTTCATGCAATCAGAACGAGTTGTGTTTCTACTTACCCGTTTAAATTGTGGGCAAAAGGTTGTTTGGATGAATTCTTCGAATGAGGCATCATCTGCAAAAGAAAGAGGCAATTCGGCACTAGCTAGAAATTTAGCTAGTGCCTCAAGAGCACGTTGTGCATCGTATGTAAAATTTTGTAACCCCCGTGATGTGAGTGATAATGTTTGTTGGCGTGAGTCCACACTCCCACCTTGGTGCAACGGTAGACATACTTTCCAATGTCTATCCAGATGACCAATACCCCCACCCTTTTTATTAGAAAAGTACTTTTTACAATATTTACATACCGCACGAATTTCCATCTCACCTGTTTTTAGATTTGGTCGGGGCTCCTCAATGAAATGCTGCCATGCCGGAGAAGTTCGCGGTCTTTTTCCTCTGCTGCGTTCTCCAGCTTCCTCATTGTTTACTGAAGCATTATCCACCGGAACATTTTCTGGTTCAGTGGGGGTGGGGTTGGGAGGCATCATTTCTTCCTCAAAAAATGCCTCATCACTAAGCTCAGGAAGAGCAGTGAAATCAGGAAAGTTTGGTGCGGCCATTTTCTGGAAATTGATAGAACTTGATTGAACTTTGGAAATGAAAGAGCTAAAAAATGAATAAACGCGAGAAAAAAGCTTAGAATCAAAATCAAAGAGGCAAGTTGAGAGATAGAATGAGAATGAGATGAGAAGTTGAGAATGAATTGTTGTGTGAGATTTATGGTGGAATTAAGGGGTATTTATAGGAGATTTTGTTGGTTGCCGAATCGAATTCGGACGCGGAAGCGTGGAGGTAGGGCGGATCGTGTATAACAAAAATTTTCATAAAACCTGTGAGATACTCTATAGATTATATTAATTTATACATGAATAAATTAATCTCATTAATTCATTTATTAAGAACTCAATTAGGAAAAATACCTGGAAGTCGACTCGGTTGATAACTTGAGTTCTTTGACCTTAAACAATCGTTACTCCAAAGCTTTGTGTTTAGAAAACTAATGTCTTCCACGTCAATTCCTAGAATCCACGAAGACGTGTGTGTGGGCACACATGAGATAAAATGGGTTCTAAAAACACTCGAATTTCCATAAACACCAACGCATGCACGATGTGGAATTTTTAGGAGAAAAAATTTTCCTTTCACTCTCTCTTGAGAATTTCGGCCAACCATAACTCTTAGGGCAAAAAAATTGTTTCAAAAATTGTTTTCACAATTTTCTATCATTCTCATATTTAAAGAATATAAGTCAAACTTCAAAAAGGAATCAAATCGCTATCTCCTATTTGAATTTGGAACAAAAAATCTTCTACACCTTATCCCTTAAGTGGCCGGCCACCCTAGGATTTTTCATCCCTGTGTGTGGCACCAATATCAAATAGAGAAGGAAGAGAAAAATCATCCTTTATCTTGTAGTCCAATTTTGACTCAAATTCAAATTCCAATTTAAGTCAAACTTAAATTAATTTGAATTCTAAATTGAACAACTTATCAAATAAGTTTAAATGGATAAATCTAGATATGTTCAAATTCAAATTTAAATAATCACATTATTTAAATAATAATAATTAATTCTCAATTAATTATTTTTCGAGTATT